TCTGTAGCAGTATGGTTTAGTGGTCAGAACAGAGGACTGGGAATCAGGAGTCCTGGATTCTAATGCTGACTCTGCCAGTGGCCTTGGGCAAGTCACAGCTGTTGCTGCCTCAAATAGCCCATCAATAATTACTCTGAAATAGTGCAAGGAAAGGCACTACAGAACAGCCAAGTGTGTATTTTGCTAGCCAAAGGGACAGTCTCAGATTGTAGATGCTCTCTAGCAGTGTTTGAGCCTGACCACAGAACTCTCTTGTTAAACTACTTAAACAGTCGTTTATCAAAATTCAACCTCTTGCAACAATGAGTTACTTTGCACTGCTTACACCAAATCTTTGCACACATCATCAAATTCTGTAGGAGGTCTAAGAATATGCAGCGTTTACATGGAACTTCAAGGCCACAAGTTAGAAGTGCACCCTCTGTGCTTTAATTGTTGACATTAGTCAACTCATTGACATAGGCTCTCTCCTGTTTGGGAATACTTGGGCCCTAGCCATTTCTTTGTTAGAGACCTCATTTGGAATCCCCTACAGGAACGGTCAGTCTGAATGCAATCAGATTACTATCAAAGTCAGTACAGTAAATCAGTAACCAACTAATAGCACTGGTTTAACCAGCTATACCATGGATAGAGCTTTGCGAGAGTCTACTCACACTGCCCTGCAATAACTCAAACCTGACCTACAGCATTTTCTGCTACTCCAGTCAAGTGACTACACACAACTGCAATTGCTCTACAATCCTGACCCACAGCATCCCCTCTACTCCAATCCTGGTTTCTCTTGAATAGGGAATGCCAATCAAGTCAAAGTGCAGTGGTTTGGAGTAATGCATGAGCAGGACTAGTAGAACTAGTTTAAGATTTACTTTTGCTTGCTGGTGCTGAGTCAGCTAAACATTTAATTCAAATGTTCTTGGGATACAATAATGTTAATTGGAACCAATCTGCTGCACACGCAGAAAGATAAGTCCAGAGGAAAACTGTTCAGGTTATCTTGATGTCAACCAAAATCCACCTCTCACACCTTGCTGTAATTGCACAACTACAACTAGCTACTGAGGCACCATAAAAAGCACCTTATTCAATAATTACATATTGCAACTGGTTAATCATTTCTTAACAATGAGTTGTTGCTTTTTTAATTGCAATAAAATGGAGCTGGAAAGCAGGCAATTGCCTATACACTAGTGGAGAATTGGAAGTTCTCCCTGATGAACAAAGATTAATTTATTCAAAATTTAAGCTTTCAGTCATTTAAAAAAAAAATCTACTGCTTATGGTTACAAACACAAACTTCCAAATGTCAACCATGGCTACCCTCCAGAGTCTGCAGACAGACAGCTTCAGTACCTCTACTGCTGCTCAGAGCTTTGCCAAGCAGCAATAGAGTAAAATTAATGACTGGTCAGTCAGCCTTAGTGTGAAATTATCAAGAACCATATCAATTTCATACTGCTGCTAGGAAGAGCTGTGAGTGGCAACGGAGGCAGGCATTGGAGTTATTTACTGAGGAGGATAATGCACAAAAAATAAGAGGCTGGGGGGTACGGTAGAGTAGTGAAGACTTCCCCTCCCCTCATCAAACAGGCAGAAAGCTTTGGGATTGGGGAGGTGCGGTGGGGGAGAAGGGAGAGAAATTTCTTTTCTCTGATCCACCTGATAGAATAGGGAGAAGATTTAGATTTATCACACCCCTAAATAGCTAAAGGCTGGATTTGAAAGATGGAGTCCCCCAAGCAGACTCCAGAGACAGCAGCCTACTAAAAATCCAAGAACCCTCTACGTTCCCAGTAGCTAAGACAGGCAATAAAACTGGCCTTCTCACCAGGCCATTGCCCTTGGACCTTGCTGGTGGAGCCCCCAACTTCATCTTTCATATCTATCTGCTGGTTTTAGTCCTCCAGGGCCCAATTCAGGAAAGCACAGATGCATGTGTTTAAGTGCTGTGCTGAACTGGGGCCACAGTTAGTAGATCTCTGCTAAAGTTACCAAGCCCTGTAATAAATATTTCTTAACTGTTTTAGGTACCAGTGTTTTTATCTTATAAAAATACCAGATAATAGTTAACTCTTTTAGACTTTTTTTTTTTTGGGCCCATTGCCACTAAGCCTGTGAGGGTATTTAGATAATCAACACACTCAGATTTATCTTCTTACACTGAAGTTCAGGTTAATGATTTAGAGCTTGTCTATATGGAAAAAGTTTGCCAGTTATACCAGTATAGTTATACCAATAACTCATTAGGTGAACACTCATTTGGGTGAGTGTGGGTTTGTTTGATTTAGCTTAAACCCCTTCCAAAGTGTGTAAATTAAACCGAAAAAATGCACTTTTGTTCCTCAGAAAGTGTGTCACGGCGGGCAGAGTTATATCGGTACAACTCGCAGTTTAAATTCACACCTTAGCTTATACTATTAACACTGTCGCATATAGACACACTCTTATTTACTCCTTAAATGTTGCTATGCTGACCCGAAGCTCAGTTAGAGCAATACAGAATCAACAGCTTTGGGTTCTGAAACTTTATTAAAAACAGGAAACTCCTAACAGGAAAGCCTGAAACGCAACAAAATGCTTCGATCTAGAAATCTCAAACATGAATCTTAAACACACACACACACACACACACACACACACACACACACACACCCATCAAATGAAAAATCCTGCACAAGTAACTAATTTAGTTTTCATTTTCAGGGTTTTGGGAGGCTAAGTCCGAACAGGAAATAAGAACAAAAACCTTTTAACCACAGCTGGAAAGATATTAGAACAAACTATTATCAATCAATTTGTAAACATCTAAAGGATAATAGGGTTATAAGGAATAGCCAGCATGGTATTGTCAAGGACAAATACTGTCAAACCAATCTAATTTTCTTCTTTGACAGGGTTACTGGCCTAGCTGGTAGGGGGTAAACCGTAGACGTGACGTTCTTGATTTCCAGCAAGGCTTTTGACACAGTCCCGCATGACGGTCTCATAGGCAGAATAGTGAAATATGATCTAGATAAAATTACTACAAGATTGGTGCACAACTGATTGAAATACCATACTCAAAGAGTAGTTATCAATGGTTTACTATCAAACTGGGAGGGCATATCTAGTGGGGTCCCCCAAGGATCAATCCTAGGTCAGGTACTGTTCAATATTTTTATTAATGACTTGGATAGTGGAGTGGAGAGTACGCCTATAAAATTCACAGATGACACCAAGCTGGGAGGGACTGCAAGTACTTTGGAGAACAGGATTAGTATTCAAAATGACCTTGACAAATTAGAAACTGGTCTGAAATCAACAAAATGAAATTCAATAAAGGTTAAGTGCAAAATATTTCACTTAGGAAGGAAAAAAAATCAAATGCACAACTACAAAATAGGAATAACTGGCCAGGTGGCAGAGCTGCAGAAAAGGCTCTGGGGGTTATAGTGGTTCACAAATTGAACATGAGCCAACAATGTGACGCAGGTGCAAAAAAAGCTAATATAGTTCTGGGGTGTATTATCAGTAGTGTTAGATGTAGGACAAGGAAGGGAATTGTCCTGTTCTACTTGGCACCTGATGAGACCTCAGCTAGAGTACTGGGTCCAATATGGGTGCCACGCTTCAGGAAAGATGTGGACAAACTGAAGAGAGTCCACAGGAGAGAAACAAAAATGATAAAAAGTTTAGAAAACCTGACCTATGAGGAAAGGTTAAAAAAACTGGGCATGTTTACTCTAGAGAAAAGAAGACTGAAGTGGGAGCTGATCACAGTCTTCAAATAAGTTAAGGGCTGTTATACAGAGGAGAGCGGATCTTGTTCTCCCTGTCCACTGAAGGTAGGACAAATAGTAATGGGCTTAATCTGCAGAAAGGGAGCCTTTGGTTAGATTATAGGGAAAACTTTCTAACTACAAGGATAGTTAAGTACTAGAATAGGCTTCCATAGAAATTGTAGAATGCCCACCACAGGAGGTTTTTAAGAATAGGCTAGACAAACAACTGTCAGGGATGATCTAGGTATGTTTGGTTCTGCCTTAATACAGGGGGTGGGACCTGATATCCTCTGGACGTCCCTTCCAAACTTACATTGCTTTGATTCTATAAGTAAATTCAGGTCACTGAACTGATTTACTGTCTTTGTGGAGATTTTAAGCATTACAAGGTTAACCAACTTTTTTGGCTTTCAACCCAGAGTCAAATGAAGGGATTCTGCACCGTATCATTTCTCCTCTCTTTTGGAAAAGATTCTTAACTCTGAGCAAGACAGACACACATATGCATATGAGCTAGGTGGAGAACAGAATTTTTTTTTCAGGTTGAAGGAGAATTTTGTTAGTAGCCTGGGAGCTACAGAGAGATTGCTACTGACTACCTTATTTAAAAGATTATCAGGTCAGCAGCACTGTCATCTTAGGCCAGGTCTACACTAGAAAATTAGGTCGGCTTAAATACTTTGGTGAGGGGAGTGAGAAATTCACCCTTCTGAGCTGTGCTGTTAAACTGACCTAAGTCCCCATGTAGACAGTGCTAGTCAATGGAAGAATTCTTCCCGTCAACCTAACTACCGCATTTTGGGAAGGTGGATTACCTATGCCAAAAGGGAGAACCCTTCCAGTCGGTATAGGTAGCGTCTACACTGAAGTGCTGCAGTGGATCAGCTGTGTTGCTGTAGCGTTTTAATTGTAGACAAGCCCTTAGAGTAGTAAAATAGTGCTGTAGAAAGGGTTAGTAAAATCACCATTTTACTACAAAATGTGTTGGTCAGCCTACCTTTCTAACAGCTTAGAGACATACTTTGCTAGGAAGACCAGTGGTTAACCCCCCTTCCTCACAGGTACTTGCGTGTGGGTTGTTTTTGGGGTTGTTGTTTTTTGGCTATTTCACTAGCTAGGATGTCTGGCTGGTAATTAACAGGTTTCATACACCCCACCCTTCAAACATTTAAAATGAATCAAGGGGCTAAATCTAGACTGAGGCACAGAAATAGCTCAGAGAGAGAACTGAATACTCACCTGTAGATGAAGAGAGGGCACAGAGGCAGGCACACATGTAGAACAGGTGAAAACTTCCCAGGCAACGTCCTGATAAAATCCAGACGCTAATGCTGAACTTGGCTTCCAACCTCTTCTCCATGGCCTTTGTGGGCAGAACCAGGACTCTATAAACACACAAGAAAGAGAAATCATGCACCAAACAATTTATAGGTGGCTCTTCATGAAGCTGACAAGGTGAAAGGACTAAAGAAGTTGGGGGAGGAAAGGAGTGTTCCATCTTATCTATCATGACTCAGACCAACTGCAGAGAAGTAATTGCCAGTATTATGAGAGATCTGAAATGAAACCAACAGTAGCAGAAAAGCTCTTCATTTCTTGGGTTTGTACTGCAGTAAGTCAAGAAATTTGGTTTTCCTTCACAATCCCTTTAGACACCATCACTTACATCTTTGAAGCATGAAAAGCAAAATCCCCAATAGCATCATTATAATCCATTTGATTCTGTGTGCGCACTCTGGAAACTTCCCTTTCAAATCTGCAACATGCAGCTGACACCCAGCCAGAGCTGCTTGGATAAGACAAACACCAATAAGCCCAGCACATCTGCTAGGCGGGCAGCACAAAACGTCATCAGTTGGCTATTTGTGCTGGCTGGTACTAGCAGAAACAAAGACAGACAAAAGTTCAGCAGCATTGATAAAACAGCCAATTAAAAGCCAATTTTGCTTCTAAGGACACAGATGAGGGCACTAATGGTCAAACCAGAAGTTCAATCTTTTTGAATTTCCAGGTCTCACCTGTGCCAAGAACGAGGGCGGCATCAAAACAAAAAACAAGTTATAACTGGAGTTTGACCAGTTTTCCTTCCGATCCCTGACTAGCCTCATTCTCAGACTGAGAATAAGAGTCCAGATGTAACATTACCTAGCTCTGAAGAGATCTGTCACTCAAGTCCTTTCATAACATCATATGTTATCAAAGTCCAAATCAATGGAAGAAACTATCAGATGTATTGCTCAGAAATGTGAATGACATGAAAAGTTAATGATCTAAAATATAATATCAAATATCTACCTTACAAGGCAGAATGTGGGTATTGTGACGCTTATGTAGTTTATGTCTGTAAGCCACCTTGAGTTCCTCAGATGAGATCATCATTATTATAGAGTTGAGTTATCAGTATATTCTTAAGGAAATTTCCATAGAATTAGGGAGAGAATTTTGGCCAATAGCAGCAGACAAGAATATGGACAATAGATAATTCTTGTTGATGCCAACATAGTTTATGACAACCAGAAAATTTCACAAGGTAACTAATGGGAAAAGGGAGTTGGAGGGAGGGGATTTAACCATTAGGAAGCTAAGAAAGTTTGCAACACTTCTGTCCTGCGTGTTACAAGCACGCCCAAAACCAAAAATTCCATTTCTGCTGCTGCAGCTTTCTGCATGGATCACGGGACAATGTTTACTTAAAACGTCTTTAGATCGATGAAGATGTATCATAATCCGGTCTGCAAGCTACGTAGCAGTCTGTTCGTGTACACAGCAATAAAGTGTGTTTGATCAGCATCGTAACAGCAGTGAAATGAGACATTCAGTCTGAGTAATCAGGATTTTTTTTTTAAAGTTACAACTCGGACAACCTAGTAAACCTACTGAATAGATGACCTTTTAAAGTATATATGTTGCTTGTAATTGTATACATTGCCTTGCATATGTATTTAAAATGTTATGTTTCAGGGAGAGTTTGTAACTGCAACTTATTCTTAACAGATGAAAGAGGAGCATAAAATAAAACATAACACTTTACAAAGCATTACAATGTGAGCTTTGTCTGGGCAGTCACACTGGTACACAGACACTGAGTTCAATAATGAAAATACCTACAGTGTCTAGTTTCATCTGACAGTCTTTATCCCATTACTAGGTCTCTTGATTTCTTTTTTCCTTCTACTATGCAATCGTACACAATTTAGGAACAGTACATCCTAAAGTTGTTGTACAAAATAAAGTAACACACACACACTGAATAAAACAACACTTCTCCGAATAAGCCTGAAATTATCTCACTTGCAGGTGCTTTCTCCCCCGCCCCAAACTGAGAAGGGAAACAAAACAAACGTTTGCTCTTTTCCCCTCTCGCCTGCATGCAGTTCTAGATAGCATACCTTACTTACTCTTAGGAATGCGAAAGCCAGCTTGGCTTTGTACAGGAGAAAATAATTTCCTGGAAAAAATGGAGAGTCACATGAGAGTTCTGGGGAGCTGATCAGTTGACACTGACCCTATTCGTTTGTCCTGGAAAGAGAGTTCATCTCAGGCACATCCCTTTCGCCGTTTTATTTTGAAGAACACCGACTAAAAAAATAACAATTCAGCGTTCAGCCTGGCAACGCACCCCCGTGGCTAGCCCCACAGGCGGCCCAGAACCGGCTCGGGTTACACTCCGCGCCCGAGCCGCTCGGAGGCGGCTAGCCCACGCCACGCAGCCTTTCTCCCCCGGCCAAGTTCCAGCTGAAACGGCCCCCGGCCCAGCCCGGCCGGCCAGGGGGCGGGAGGGAGCCCAGCAGCCGCTGCCTGCGGAACTCCCGGCCACTGGCTCTGCGCAGCGCCGAGCACGCGGACCGCGGCTCTCCTAACAAGCAGGTACCTACCACGGGCACATGACCGGGGAGCTCCAGGGGCGGCTGTCTCGCTGGGGCCCGGGCCCGGGGCTGCCGCGCGGGACGCCGAGAGCCCCAGGCGCGGCCCCCGCGCCCTCACCCGCGCCGCTCCCCGCAGGGCAGGGGGGGCTCGGGCCGCGCAGCCTCCTCCCCCGCTTCCATGGGGGGGCCGGGGAGATCCCCGAGGAGCTGGGCGTGCGCGAGCTCGGCGGCTCCTTCTCTCGGCTTCACTCAGCAGCAGGCGGGGGGCGGGCACTCATTCACCTCTGACCCGGAAAGACAACCTCACCCCCCACAGGTACCCGGAAGCGGAAACAGACGCGGCTACGCCGGAGAGCGGTGATTTCTGTGTATCTAGCGTGGCCTTGCCGCCTCTGCCCCGGAGGAGCCGCCCGGTTAGGAAAGGGCCTCGCGGGATCATCTTGCCTGCGGAGAGCGGCGGAGGAGTCCTACCACCGGACTTTGCCCATAGTCGGCATGGCGGCGGCAGCATCACCCGCCGCCTAACAATCCGGCACGCGATTGGCTAGAGCGGGAGCGTGGGGCTCGCTGATTGGCTGGAGGGACAGGCTGAAGGGTGTGAGGTGAGGGCCCTGGTGCCGGCGGCTGATGTGAGGGCAGCATGTTCAGGCTCTCATAGCTGTGAATGAGGGGAACTTTGGGGGAGTGGAGGGAGCCTCTGAGTCAGCCCCCTCTGAGACCAGATCCCTTGGGGGGGGGGGCTGGCCAGGGTTCCTTGGGGGGGGCTGGCCAGGGTCAGGGCCTGGGGCCCGTGGGATAAATGGGGGACATGGTATGTAAGCGAGTTGACAGGCACATCTGGAGGGGGGGATGTGTTCAGCAGGGAGGACAGGCAGGATACCCCCAGGGACAGGAGCCCATCTCACCAGACGGTCAAGCTTGGTCACTGTTTCTACCCATCCCTACAGTTTTTTTGGGGGGTCGTGCCCCAGTCTTTTAACAAGGCAACTGACTCCCAGAAGCCCACTAATAGGGCCCTGGGAAATGCCGCCACATGGCGATGCATAAAGCCGTGGGTCGTGATCCCCAAACTTGCAGGGTGCAGGAGATCCAGGGGTTGCAGGACGTGGTGTTGGTGTGTCATGGCACAGCCTTCCCCTCTGAATCTGTGCTGGATGGGGCAAGGGACTCTGTGCTGCTGGGAGTGCCACCGTTCTGGGGGGGCCACGAAGCGGAGGCCCTGGCTGCTTGTGCATATTAAGATCCTTAGAGCTGGTCTACTTTCAACACAGGCAATTGTTTTATGGCCTCTCACAATGTCACCCCCTTGGTTTGGATTCACCTACTACCATGACACAGTTCTATAGCATTGCTGTGCACTGTGAAACGCTGGCTGCCTGCCATCCCATCGGTGGCTGCATTTCTGTGGTGGAAGAAGTGATCCTTGTCTATATAATAGTTTATAAAGTGATGCGCATTGTTCCAGAGGGAGAGGAGCTCTGGAAATGTAACTGCTAAAACTAGCACTCTCTCACCCATCCACACACTTTAATTTAGTCAGGCTTCCAGTAATATGTAGTTTCAGGACTCCTTCATTTAGTCTAATAGGCAGATTTATGACTCAGGAGGCACATCTGTAATATGCAAATACACATTCATGTTAGTATTTGCTGTATTTACATAATACCAAGTGGCTATTTAAAAAGCTTTATGCAAAGTGACTAGGGTACAATCACAGATTTCATCCCCCAAATATTGTGGCTGTTTTGATGTGAAATGCCAAAAAGAATCCAACTCTGCAAAATATCCTTGTGAAAAAACAAAGTTTGTTGTTGAGCAGTGGAAACACACATACAAAATATCCACACTCTTGTTTTCTATTTGTCTAGTGTTTCTGTAATTTTAAAATAGCCTCAACACTTTAAACCAAATTTGGTTTAAAAGCTTTTTTCATGTGTGGGTTTGGAAGCACTGTACCATGTTTGAGCCTGGAACAAATGTTTATAGCCGAGTAATAAACTTCTCTGAAACTGTGGTTTGTAATGGAAATGCTGATGACAGATTCTTGAGCCCAGCCACTCGAATACGTACTATAATTAAGGAAGCTTGCTGGTATGTAATTATCCAAACAAAAGAAAGCTGTCAGCAGCCTGTGTGGAATATGCATTTGAGAAAGGCGCTACCCTACAATTTAAGCTAGAAATAAATTTGGTTCGAAATGAGCAAAAGTTGGCCTCCCTTAGTTTGAAATGGTTTTTCATAATTTCTTCTCTCTTTATTTAAATAAGAATAGACCATGTAGTCCAAATCAGTCTATTGATCTGGCAGTGATCAATATTTGATACTTCAAATAAATGCACAAAGCAACAACCATAACACCTGGCCAATTTTACCATGCTGCAGATTCCTTCCTGATTCCTACATTCATCAGCTTATGCCCTGAAGCCTGATGTTTGATTACCCTTATGGTAGCTTACATGACTACAGATTTTATTATGGGCCATAAAATAACCCAGCTCCTTTTAAAATGCAGCC